AGAAATAAGAGTGGAAAGAGCCCCGCCACCTACCATCTCAGAAGGGATGGGCATGGGGCTGAGGCTGGCCTCCTGGGGCCTCCTTTTCTGGCCACCATTCCTACAACCTTGGCCCTTGTACCTGCCTCACCTGTGTTTTGAGTGATTCTTTTGGGTCCCGTGAGGAGAAAGACTACTGGGGACTTATTTACTACCACTGAGCTTTGCCTCACCCTTCAGACTAATTTTGCATTATTCTGGCCCTCAAAGAAATGCCCGGGCCACACACCACCATGTTTTCTGAATAAGCCATGAATTTTAAGTTCTCTGGGCCTGCCTGGAATGGCCCTCCTCCCTGACCACCATGGAGAACTTCTCTGGAATTTTCTGGACTCAGCTTCATCCCTGGTCTTCAGGAGTGACCATGGCAGGTTACTTGAGGTTTCTGAAGCTCAGTTTTCCTAGCTGCAACATGGGAGTGGTCTTGTTTGGCCTGATGGGATGAAAGGGATGTGTAGGGTCAATCGAGACTGACCGGCAAAGCCAACTGCAGAGGCTCAGAAAGAATCATGGTGGTAATGAGAGTAATAACTGATATGGACGGAGGGCTTGTTGCACTGTCCTGGGTACTCTGCCTTCATTAGCCTCCTCTAGGTGCCACCGCTGGCTGGTAGCACACGCCTGTAATCTTAGCAGCTCTGGAGGCTGAGGCAGGAGGATTGCAAGTTTGAAGCCAGCCTCTGCAGCTTAGCGAGAGACCCTGTCTCAGAATTAAAAAATAAAAAGTGCTGGGGATGTAGCTTAATGATAGGGAACCCCTGGGTTCTTTACCCACCCTTGCAAATACGCATGTAATTTGTTCATGTTTGAAAGAAGAAAGGCATCAGCCAATTAGGAGCTCTCTGGTTCAACCAGCACAGCCTGGATGACTGAGGGAAACTGCAGAGTCAGCTTGGTAAGTTGGAGGGGTTGACAAAGCCCTGGTGTTGGCCAAGGAACATGGAACCTCTGGCTGTCACAGGAAGAGGTCACAGAGACCCCTATTAATTCATAGTCACCCATTCACTCATCTACCCCGACACACACCCATCTACCTACTCACCCTCCACCTTCCATTCATCTGCCCATCTGTTCCTCCCTCTCTCTGCCTTCCTGTCCTCTCATTGATTATTTATCTATTTATGGATCAACCAATTCACTTACCAGCCCATCCACCCACTATTTCCCAAAGGCCTATGCTGAGGGGACTAGAGAAGACTCAACTGTGTCTCTCGTTCTCAAAGACCCCACTGCTGGGCTGGGGATGTGGCTCAAGTGGTAGCGCTCTTGCCCAGCACGCACGGGGCACTGGGTTCGATCCTCAGCACTACATAAAAAATAAAATAAAGATGTCGCGTCCACCGAAAACTAAAAAATCAATATTAAAAAAATTCTCTCTCTCTCTCTTAAAAAAAAAAAAAAAAGAAAAAGACCTCATTGCTTGCATCAGATGGTGAGAAGAGACAGAGGATTGTTGTCCTCAGGAAGGGGAAGACACGGTGTGTGGGAGCCCGGCTGTCACCAGGGTCTCATTTTCCTTGGCCAGGTCCATTTTTGCACGGGAGCAGATGAGTCGTGAGAGTGAAGGGCACGGCTCCTCCTTCCTGCCCACCTCCTCTTGCATGGATTCAGGGCGTCCTGCAGTCTAGATTTCCCATCCTGGTTGGGAGATGCCTGGACTTCTACCCTGGACCAAGCTGCCTTAGCCTTTTTACTGTCTTCTACAGGATGAAGAAAGGGTGGTCCCCGAGAGCCCCTGTGTTCCATGGCCTAGTTGGCAGGGCCTGGGTGGGAAACTTACCCTGAACTCCAGCCCTCGTTCCCAAGACCACCACAGTCTAATGGTGTTGTGGGATTGGTTTCAATGACTAAGAATCTGGCTGGGCCCCTGGACTCAACAGCTGGCTATAAGGTGGCCAGAGGTTGACTTTGCTGCTAATTGACTTTGGACAAGATCCTTTTCCCTCTCTACCCTGATGCCTCTGCTGTAATTTACTTACTTGTTGGTCTCTGCATTGCCAAATGGAATCCTCCTATAATTTTATTGCTGAATAACCACCCAGTCATCCTGTATGCTAATTATGTGCCAGGTGTGTTGCTCAGCTCGTCCCACTTACTGATTTGCTCCTCACAATAATCCTATTATTTTACCCAAGAAACTAAGGCACCGAGAAGTTAAGTAACTTGTTTGGATTCAAGCTAGCGAGAGGTTTGAACCCAGGCTGTCTGGCTCCAGAGTAGGAGTCTTGACCACTGTCTGCTCATACCAGAGGCTCTACTGTCCCTCCCACACTGATGGCTGTCAACAAAAAGAATCATGTGGCCATGATACTTTCAGGAAAGAGCCAGAAATACAGGCACAGGAGTCCTAGGATCCCAGAGTTCAAGGTATAGCAGCAGGAGACCTATGTGACTACTGGATTACAAACCAAGGACCCCGATTTCCAGGTCTCTGGCCTGGCCCCAAGCTTAAGCAGCTGCACCTTCTCCCCAGGTGGACTCACTGACCCTTGGTCTCTTGTGCCACCTGGACACAGCCTCAGTCCACCAATATCTGGAAGTGAGATTCTAGCTTTGCCACCTTTGTTCCCGAGACCATCTGAGATTTAACACCATGGAGAGGTTTCAGCAGCTCTCCTGATCGATCCAGGGACTTCCTTACTGTAACTGAATAATCTACGTCTCAATCCAAGCCCACCACACAGGGCTTTGCCCACATGGCTGCCCCCATGGCTGGAAGCCTGTTCTGGGAATCGCCGCTCCCCTCTCTGCCACATCTGCAGGACAAACTCATTCACAGCGTGGCGGTTATTTTAGGAAGGCCGGGGGGAACCAAATAAAGCATCGCTGATCTCTCTTGATTCCCAAATCAGGGGAGAAAGGAGACAAAAATGTCATCTCTGGCATCACCCGCAGGGTTCTCTGTCACCCGTCTGCACACGTTCTCCGACCTACTTTCCCCTCTGTGGATTCTGCCTCTCTTGGCCTGCAGCTCCAGAGTGATGGGGGTGGCCGTGAGAGGCAGAGCGCTGGAGCTGCCTTCTTATCCCCACAGCAACCCCCCAGTCCCTCGCTGCTGACTCATGCTGCTGACTCCCCAACTTGGCGGCTCCCACAAATCCCACCGGATTATGAAGGCTGCAGCTGGCTCCCGGCTGAAGGGGAAGGTCAGGGCTCGGGCACATGTGGAGGGGAAGCAGAAAGCTCTGCCGATTCACCCCGATGCCCATGAAGCAGAAATGCCCTGCATCTGGGTGCCCGTGGCCATCTGGATGAATGAACTCTGGGCTTCTCGTCCATAGTCCAAACGCTGGTTAATTACCAAGAGGCAACTTGTGTTTCTAAACCCAAAAGGCATCACAGCATGATGAGACTAAGTAGCATAGCTGAGAGAGTAAGATGATTGTTATTTTATCTTATTTTATTTTAGTTTTTGATACCAAGGATTGAACTCAGGGACACTCGACCACTGAGCCCCCTCCCCAGCCCTATTTTGTATTTTATTTAGAGACAAGGTCTCATGAGCTGCTTAAAGTGATTTTTTTTCATCAAAATAAATAATTTTATTACTCTTATTAACAACAGTGATATTATTGGTGGCAGATTGTTTGTAAAAATGGCCACAGTTTTTTCCCTTCTATGAATCCATGTCCTAAGCAGCACCTCTCAGCCAGAGGCAGAATCTCTAATTCACTCTGTGAATCTGGGCTGGCCTCCCAACTTGCACTGCTCAACAGGATGTGTCAAAGTGACAGTTTACAGCCCAGTTCTCAAGAGACCCTGAACACCTCAGTTCTAAGAACCCTGTTGTCACCATGTGAATAAGCCCAGACTAGCCTGCCAGAGGAGGTGAGACTACACGGCAGAGCAGAGGTAACCTAGAGGAGGCCAGGCCAGATCAGCCAATGGTCCTGCCAAGATCAGCAGAGCTGGCCACTTGAAGCTCTGCAGATGCTTGAGGGAGCCCAGCTGAGACTGGAAGAACCACCTTGCTGAGCACAGCCAGAACCACTGAACTGCAGGATTGCTAGCTACATAGAGCCAGCTCTTAGTCCCTGTGGGGGATTGGTTCCAGGACCCACAGCAGATACCAACGTCTTTGGATGCTCAGCCCCTTAAATAGAATGGCACAGCATTTACACAGAACCCACACAATCCTCTCCCATACTTTTTAACTTGTCTCTAGCTGACTTATAATACTAATCTAAATATTACATGTAAAGAGTTCTTTTAGTGTATTGTTTAGGAAATAATGACAAGGAAAAAGTCCATATAGTGCTGTACAGATGCAACAATTCTAGTCCTAACTAGACTTTTTTCTGCATATTTTTTACCCACAGTTGATGGAATCAGCATACGGAATCCATAGACATAGAGGGTGGACTGCAGTTTCATTTTGTGTTACTAAATTCTGAAATGTGTGTGTGTGTGTGTGTGTGTGTTTTTGAACCAAGGGGTGCTTACCTACTGTGCCACATTCCCAGCCTTTTTAAAAAGTTTTTTGAGACAGGGTGTCACTAAGTTGCTTAGGATCTAAATTGCTGAGGCTGGCCTTGAACTCTCAATCCTCCTGGCTCAGCCTCTGGAGTCACAGGGATTACAGGGGTGCACCACCATGTCTGGCTTGAAATATTTTGTTTTGTTACATAGCATAAACTAATTAATAGAAACATTTTGGCAAGGGGATTAATGGCAGGATTTAAAAAAATAATCAATGGTAATAATTAACAATCTTTTCTGTTTGATCACACAGACATTAAAGTTAGAAGAATATCAAATCAAACAGAAATGAATTGCTTATTATCTGATCACCCGGGAATGCATCAGCAGGAGTTGAGAACGACAATGCCATCCTTCAATCTGCCCAGTACTTCTGTGTTGCCTCATGGACGGATTCGCTCCCTAGCCAAGGCCTCAGGTACCTCTACGTCATCTCATGGACGATGCGCCCCTAGCGGAAGATGCCACAGGTGCCCACTTACCAGAATCTTGGTGGTGTAGGCGCTGTTGATGGCGATGGCGTTGACCAGCAGCTCCATGGTCTTGGTGTTGATGGAGCTGGGATCCGGGATCTCCTTGTAGTGGACGTCACCGACGTAGGCCTGCACCACCGTCATGCGATTGGTGGTCAGAGTGCCTGTCTTGTCCGAGCAGATGGCCGTGGCGTTGCCCATGGTCTCACAGGCGTCCAGGTGGCGCACTAGGTTGTTGTCCTTCATCATTTTCTGGGAGAAAGGGCAGATAAAAGGGCGATGGTGAGGAGGGAAGATGGGGGAGATGGGGTGCCTGGGGGGGAGCCCTGGGTGATATGGAGTAACTGAGGCTGAGCCTCGGTTTCCCTTTACCCTCTGCACGTCAGAGATCTTGGTTATAAAGGCCTCTTACACCTGGACTTCTTTTGACTGTTATGGCCCTTTTCTTTCTCTTTTATCATTTGAACCATTTAAAAGATTACTTAATTTTTTTACCTCAAGATACAGAAGTAATCTACATTGTCTATAGAAAAAAAAGGTGGAAAAATATATGAAAAAATGCTCATCATCTCTAGCAATCAGAGAAATGCAAATTAAAACTACACTAAGATACCATCTCACTCCAGTAAGAGTGGCAGCCATTACGAAGGCAAACAACAACAAGTGCTGGCGAGGATGCAGGAGAAAAAGGCACACTCATACATTGCTGGTGGGACTGCAAATTGGTGCAGCCAATTTGGAAAGCAGTATGGAGATTCCTTGGAAATCTGGGAATGGAACCACCATTTGACCCAGCTATTCCTCTTCTTAGACTATACCCAAAGGACCTAAAAACAGCATACTACAGAGACACAGCCACATCAATGTTTATAGCAGCACAATTCACAATAGCTAAACTGTGGAGCCAACCTATATGTCCTCCAGTGGATGAATGGATAAAAAAATGGGGCATTTATACACAACGGAACATTACTCATCAATAAAAAATAATAAGATCATGGCATTTGCAGGGAAGTGGATGGCATTAGAGAAGATTATGCTAAGTGAAGTTAGCCAATCCCCCCAAAACAAATGCTGAATGACTTCTCTGATATAAGGGAGGTGACTCAAAATGGGGTTGGGAAGGAGAGCATGGGAGGAAAATTACCCCTAGATAGGAAATAGGGATGGAAGGGAAAGGAAAAAGGGGAATAGCATGGATGGTGGAAGGAGACTCTCATCATTATATAAAATACAGATATGAAGATGTGAATTCGGTGCCAACATACCTTACATACAGAGACATGATAAATTGTGGTATAAAGGTGTATTAAGAATTGTAATGCAAAAAAGAAAAAAGTAAAAAGAAAAAATAAAAAAAAATTAAGGTTGGGTCTCTCTTGATTACTTCAAATATTTTACTCTTAACTGAGCATAAATAATTATTCCTTATTTGGTTATGGATTTTTCTCAAACGTATCACCTTCTACTGGTGCCTGTTTTTCAGTGTCTTTTCAATTTTGCCAAAGGTAAATAAGTTTAGCATACACGTGTTTATAGATATAGGAAACCCTTTGGAGAAATATCAAAATATGAATGTCATTATCTCTCAGTGATAGAATTTTAGATTTTTATTGACTTCTTTTTATAAAATCCATAGATTCCATTTTTCTATAAATGGGCACATAAATCGCACCATAAAAACTATGAATTCCTTTTAAATAAAAATATACTAAAAGGAAAATGAAAAGTGAGCCATCAACTGCCACCTAGAACAGCTACATCTTATTATAAATTTAAAAAGAACAGATGTTGATGTATAACAAAATGAAACCCTACTATACATATTATTATTTTTATAGAGCCTCCCCTTTTCTGGCTCAATCCCTGCTTCTTCTAGGTTCTTAAACAAGTAATGAAAATAAAGTAATTTTCAAAGAACCACCATTTCTCATGCAGGTACCCTGACAAGTTGACCCCACCTGGGAAGGAAGGGCGAGCAAAGCCGCTAGAGGCTGAGTCAGATGGAGTTCTAGTCTGTGCCTAGAGATTTTTTTCCCCTCTTGATACCAGGGATTGAACCGAGGGTGCTTAACCACTAAGCCACGTCCCTGGACCTTTTTGTGTTTTATTTAGAGAAAGGGTCTCAATGAGTTGCTTAGGGCCTTGCTAAGTTGCTAAGGCTGACTTTGGAATTGCAATCCTCCTGCCTCGGCCTCCCAAGCCACTGGGATTACAGGCATGTGCCACCCTGCCAGGCTGGGCCTAGAGATTTCATTTCCTTTATTCTTGCTCCTCATTATAATTTTTTACATCAAGGGTAAATAAGAGTGCAGTTTGAATAATTTTACCAGAGGTTTAAGTTAGATACTGATAGGATTATTGCTATTGAATTTTCCTGATTATAACCCGTGATAATAATGCCAATAAATATTATGCTGAATGGTTGACCAACATTTGGAATTTGCAATACACTTTACATTCTGCAACGAGCCTTTTGCATTTATTTTCTTTTCTGATGGTGTAAGAATCCCATGAACCCTGAGAAGATCTATTTTGGTAACTGAAGAAATCTAGACAAAGAGATTAGACCAGTGAGGTTGAAGGTTGGTGTTTCAACCCAGCTCGACTTAACCGCACAGCCTAGATCATTCCATGGAGCCTCAACCCATCTGCTCCCTGAAGAGGGTGGTCTACTAGGCTTGAGAATCCCTAAGTTGAGACTGTCCAATAGGGTAGCTCCAAAGTGTACATGGAAAAAGCACAGTGCATTTTGAAGACACTATGAAAAAAGAATAGGTAAAAGAAATCTCTTTATAATTTTTACATCAATCACATGTTGCACTGATAATAATTTGGATATATTGGGTTAAGTCAATTGCATTATTAAAGTCATCTTCACCTGTTCCTGTTTTACTTTTATGTGGCTACTTGGACATTTAATGTGGCTCACATCTGTTTCTCCCAGGCAGCACCAATCCAAGTGGTCACTGCTGGGCTCTTGATGGTGACTCCCAGATCCAGGCTCAGAGAGCAATCGTCTGCTTCTCCTGGGCTGGGCGCTCTAAATTTACCAAGTGACTGCAGAAGTAACATGACCTAAGGTGACCAAAGCTACCAGGTGCCAGATATACAAACTGCAGACAGCACAGGAGCCTAAGATTGTCTAGACACACGGTTCCTCCAAACCGGGTCTGTGAAGTTTACAAGGAGATCCCCAGCTCGGTGGGGTGGCTGTGGAGCCCCTACTCATGGCTATGTAAATATTGCCCTCTCTCGTCCCCGGGCTCCCGAGGAGCATCTTCATGTGACCTGTTTGGGTTTTGGTTTGTGGGATGGAGTTTCTCTGAAAACCCTAAAACAGAGAGAACGATCAGGGCAGTATAGATTTCACAGAGCTGCCACTTCCTGGCACCAGCCTGGAGATCTCTTTTCTGGATGAAATTACACCGGAGAGCCCAGCCCAAATTCCAACTTGGAAACAGATGCTCACTGTGCCCTCCAAAAGCCCTGCCAATTTCTTGGAGTGGGGGGGCCTTATTTATAAACACGACCACACCTCTGCCCTTGTGGGCGACATCATGGCATCAGGACACTGGGTGAAAAGAATCCAGAGCCTTGCCCTCCAAGGTGGGGAAACCCCAGAGCAAAGGGAAGAAATGAGCAGGACGTGAGAGTCTTGGAGTGACCCACAGAAGGTCAGACTTGTGGTGTCTGGGACCCGCGGATGACCACTGCCTGGGCTCCCAGACCCGAGCTGCCCCAGTGAACATCCACTGCGCAAGAGTCCTTCATTTAACTGCTTCTAAAACCTCTCAGTCTATATCCAAGGTGAAGAGGCTTCTGTTAAATTAGGCTTCCCTTGTTTTCAGCTTACCTCTCTCACACTTTTTAAATTGCGGCCTCTGAGGTTAGTTGTGTGAATACTATGGCTACGAGGGGCCTGTTACTGTGGCTGCCAGACCTCTGCCTATGTTCAATGGGAGGGGGATAGGTTTGGGCCTCAGAGCGATATCTGGATTTTATTTAATTTTTGCAGTACTAGGGATGGAACCCAGAGCCTCATGCATGTGAGGCAAGCACTCTGCTACTGAGCTACACTCCCAATCCTATTTTATTTTAGGGGATTGAGCTGATTGTCAAGACAGATCTGGAGAATTTATAGTAAGTGCAGAGTTTTGACTCCTCTTGAAAGATGTGTGAAGATCTGACCCCCGATCCTGCAATCCTACAAGGCGACATTTGGCTGGGCTAAATAGTGGAGACCCTTTTAGCTAGGGCTGGGCTCTTGGGTCTGTCCCCAGCTTCCTCAGGTGTCTGAGTTTTGGGGACAGCAGACATCCTCTCTGAGCCCCTGATGTGTCCATATGCTTCTTGGCTCATCTCCCAACCCCAGCACCAACCCTCGGGCCCCTCCCCAGGCTCCCGGTTGGGGATGTCAGCTGACTAGTCCTGCATTCCGAGCTCACCTTCACGGAGTAGGCCAGCGAGATGGTGACAGCCAGAGGGAGTCCCTCGGGCACAGCGACCACCAGCACCGTCACACCAATGATGAAGAACTTGACAAAGTACTGCACGTAGACCGGCGTGCACTCGGGCAGCCACGGCTTCTTGTTGACCACGAAGGTGTCCACGGTGAAGTAGAGCACCAGGATGATCACGGTGATGGCCGACATCACCAGGCCTGCAACACAGGGGGATACCTGCTCAGAAGGCTCCAGGCAGGGCCCAAGGGGCCCCGAGAAGTGAGGAATGGACTAAACACTTGGCTGAAAGGTCCCTGGGGTCTAGCAGAACTCAAAGCACTTCCTAGCTCTGCTCCTTCCTTGCTCTGTGACCTAGAGCAACTCCTTGGTCCTCTGTGAGCCTCAGTCTCTTCCTCTGTACCATGGGGATGAAGATTTCCTTCACATAAAGTGCCTAGCACAGTGCCCACCTGACACTTAGCAGGTGCTTCAGAAATGTGTGCCAAAACAGGGAGGTGAAGTTGAAATCACTTATTTCCTCATTTTTTTTAAAAAAAATCTTAGTTGCTGATAGACCTTTATTTATTTTTTTTTAATTTTTTAATCTTTATTTTTTAGTTTTCGGCGGACAAAACATCTTTGTTTGTATGTGGTGCTGAGGATCGAACCCGGGCCGCACGCATGCCAGGCGAGCGTGCTACCGCTTGAGCCACATCCCCAGCCCTAGACCTTTATTTTATTTTATTTTTTTAAAATTTTTTTTAGCTGTTAATGAACCTTTATTTTATTCCCTTATTTATATGTGGTGCTGAGACTCGAACCCAGTGCCTCACACATGCCAGGTCAGCGCTCTACTGCTGAGCCCCAGCCCCAGCCCCTTTCTTCACTTATTGATAAATAAATACCTTTTGAGCATTTATACCAGTCACATAGTAGTTCCTAGGCTACGAACTAGAGGCACAGAAGTTACAGCGTTCCTACCCTTGGGGACCTGATGTTCTAGAGGAACAGGCATACCACAAATAGATCACACAGTCCACAAGATCATTGAGATGCTGCAAAGAAAAACCAAGCTGATGTGACAGAAGGTGATGTGGCAGGGGAAGTTGTTTCAGCCAGGATAGCCAGGGAAGGCTTCCTGGAGGAGGTGACCTTTGGGCAGACACAGGAACAACAGGAAAAGGAAACTGAGGCTCAACAGGAGAAGTGTCTTGTTCATGGCCATAGGAGATCCTGTAGCAGTAGGGATGCCGTTGGCAACCTCCCGAGATCCCCTGGGGTCTCTCTCACCAGTTCAGTGTGCCCATCTCCCACCTGTGGCAGGTGCCACAGAGACTGCTTACATCTGCAGCCTTTGCCAGAGGGAAGTGGCAGTGGGGGCGATGGGAGTCCCCTTGTCATGGGAGTGAACCAGCCCCCATCTGGGTTCTAGTGAACCCACCCACCAACCAGTGGCTGATGTGGGGGGTCCCAAAGCCCAGGCCCTGCTGCAAGGTGGACGGGCCCCCTGTCATGTGACTCATGGTCCTGTGGAATCAAGTGGAGACTAGGAATGTTCCAGAAATCTCAGTGGCATCTGGCTTCCTCCCCTTACTGCAGGCTCCACATGAGAAAATCTCGGGTAAATCCCTCACCACCCATCTCGGATCTGCTTGCAGGAAATTCAGCCCAAGAGGTAGGCTGTGAAAGGTCAGGGAGGGAGGGGAGGGAGGACTCTGAGGGCCACGGGGCTGTTGTCTTCTTAGTCTCCTCCCCTAACCAATGCCACCTTCCCATGGAGCCTTGTGCCTGTGACAGCGATGGTGGGGACAGAGGAAATCCCTGGGCCCGTCATTCCCCACCCCCACCTCCAGTTGCGGGGCCTCAGAGCCGGGCTCTATCCCTGACAGTCACAGGGGCGGGAAGCCAAGCTCCCAGCAGCCCGGAGCTGTCACCAGGCCCCCGAGTTTAAATATAGACAGCCGGGCCTATAATTTTCCTCCCTCCCCCTGCTGTGGTGTCTATAATTAGAGCCAGGGAGACAGCCACGGAGGAGAGCAGCCAGGTGGGGAAGCCTTGGCACTGGCTGTATCCTTAGCCAGGAGGGGCAGCGAAGGCTGTGTTGCTTCTCGGGCCAGGGGGCTGTCACCAGCCACCACGTGCAGCCACTACCTCAGTTGGGAAGCCCCGCTTGTTTGGCTGGAGCGCAGACAATGGGCTTCTCCCCGGGCTCCTGGCATACCCTCGGCCTCTTTAATCTTTCCTCTGCACTGCAGCTGGTGTGGTTCATTATAAAGCCCCAATCCGTCCCTGCCCAGCCCTACTCAAATCTCTTCCATGGCTCCAACTGTCCTCAGGATAAAAATCTGAGCTGCCTAGATCTCCAGGCTCTGCAGAATCGGATCCCTCTTGAGTCACTGCATGTGCCAAGGGCTAAGTCCTCTGTATACATAATTCCCTTTAATCCTCAGAGCAACCTGTCAAGTGGGGATGACCTGTAACCCCATTTTACAGGTGAGAAGACGGAGGCTCAGAGCAAGCTGATGATACTTGGCCCAGTTCTCACAGCCACGGATGGACTGCAATGTAGGCCGTCTGCCCCGATCCAGGGTTTTACCCTCCTTGTTCTGCCTCACTAAGTGCTGAGTGTTTACTGCATACAGGACTCAGATTGATGGCTATGGCAGGAAAGGCTGGGCTTCCAGGACCATCTCTTTCTTATTTATTTTTTGGTACAGGGAATTGAACCTGGGAGTGTTAATCCCTGAGCCACATCCCGAGTCCTTTTTATTTAGTTTAAGATCGGTTCTCACCAAGCTGCTTAGGGCCTTGCTAAGTTGCTGAGGCTGGCTTTGAACTTATGGTCCTCCTGCCTCAGCTTCCTGAGCCCTGGGATTTACAGGGTGTGTGCCCCACCCCCCCGCACCCACCCGGCAGGACCCTCTTTTTCAGGGTGACCGAGGCCAGCCTGGGGTCTCACTGGTGGCTTCAGTCCCTCAGCCCCCACCGCTGCACACTCACCCGCCTTGCCAATCTGCACTGCCAGTTTGGTGAGCTTGCCCTGCAGCACAGACTTCTCCTTCTTGTGCATGTTGGCCTTCTTCTTGTCGTCTGCGTCGCCACCCTCGGCACTCTTGAGGGGCTGCATCTCCATGGCGGCTGCCCCGTCCTGCTGTTTGGCTGGAGGAGGCAGAGCACGCACATGCGCACACACACACACACAGACACACAGATGCGCACGCAGGTCAGCCTTCAGGGTGGGGATGCTGGCACCCACCCTGCCTGCCCAGTGGAGGGGCTGGCTGCCCCGACTGGGCCCCCACATGGTGGGCACAGGAGCCCAGATGGAGTCTTGGGCTGCCAGGGGTCTCACTGCCTCAGAGAACACGCTCTACCCTGGGCTGCCAGCAGGAGTGGACTGGGGTCCCCTTGGGGCCTGAACCAACCCACACACCCTACTCAAAATGGACCCTTGGTCTTTCCCATAGTCAGATAGGAAAGAAAGTCTTGGGCTTTCCCAGCATGCCCCTGGGGCATGCTACTAAGATATTGAGGATCCAGCAGACAGGAGGGTCAAAAATGAAAAATGAGAAAGACGTTTAAAAGGTAAAAGAGGGTGAACCTCTGTGCACAGGTACCTAGTCCCCAGTCAGTATGGCCTCTTCAGCATGGGACTGAATGGAGGACCTGTGGCCCTTTTTTGACAGAGATTGGGCCAGCCCTTAACCTACCCCATCCTTCGACCTGTAAGGATCTCAAAGAACCAGTTTTGAGTCTGCAGCGGAATGGGCCGGGAGCCCAAAGGCTGGGGAGATGCTGGCCCAGGAGTGTCCTCTCTTCTCCCCAGGGACACCTGGCACCATGAGTATCATAGCTACATCCCCAGGGACACCAGGCCTCGTAACTAGCCTCCACCTCTGGTGCAATCTGGTGTGGGTGGGGAGGGGCCCGCGCGGACCACAGAGGCTGGGACAGAGGTTTACCTTTGCTCTGGCTGGAGTCCACATTGCCATCTTGCATTTTACCTACACGACAAAGAATTTTAACAGACAACAGAGAACAGACGGCACAGGTCGGTCATCACAGAGACGTAACAGGCCTTGGACATTCATGTCACAGATGGAGGAAGGACTGAGCGGTTCAGGTGCTGCGTAGGCCCGCAGACCCAGGGCAAGCTGGCTGCCAGGCCGGCCACAGGGGGCTGTCACACATCTGAGTGACTCTGGATTCTCTAGGGGACTCAGGAGAGAGGGTTTCTGTTGCAATCACCTTGGCCCTGAGTGTTTTATAGATTCAAGGACCATATTTGAGAGTCAAGGGGACAGAGTCTGCTGGCAGGAAGCAGGAGAACTCCAGACCTCTCTCCAGTGAGGCTTTTATAACTTTTTGACAGCTGTATTTTGTGGGCTGGGAGGGGGCAAAGGGGAATGTTCAGCTACAACCTTTTTGTTTCCTTGTGAAAGGAAACATGTAAACACAATGGAGAAAGAGACAGAAAAAGAGGGAGGGAGGGAGAGAGGGAGGGGGAGAGAGGGAGGGAGGGACAGAGGGAGAAAGAGAGAAGGGGGGATTGATTCTAGAATAAGCAGAGTCTGGATGATGTATGTAGTTCTGTGTCCCTTTGTATCTGGCTCCAGGGGACAGTTCTACTTTTTCCTCATCTTTCTGAAGGGCTAAGAAGCTATTGCATAGATGACAACCAGCCCAATGTTCCTGACAATGACCAAGGCAAACAGTGAGCAAGAAGTCCCCAGCATTGGTCTTTGAGGGGCCCTGAACATGTCGGGGGGCTTCATGAAGCATCCTCATTCCCGAGGGGAAAGCTACGACCCCTGGTTAAGGGGACTTTATTCTGCAGCTCCGGCCACGGTAGGCAGGACAAGTAGAGTCAGTGGGTTCCCTTGGGCAGCCCCTTCCATGTCAGGGCCTGCTGCCTAGCACAGGGGAAAGGGTGACTATGGGGATCCCCGCCCACTAAACAGGGCAGCCCTGGCCCAAGTGGGTGGCACTGGTGGCTGCTGTGTCTCACCTGGAACAGCTGCCTCTCTCCTGTACCCTCTGGTCCCCTGGCCTGTGCCGCTCATCTGGATTTATTCCTCTGGGCCTTGCTACTAAGGGAGGGGTCTGAGGGGGCCAGCATCTGCTGCCACGCCCACCAGGAATCAGGCTCGGGTGGCCTCCATGATTTCATGTGATCCTGTCCATGGCCTCCTCATGAAGGGTACTCTTGAAACAAACCCATTTGCAGATGAGAAACTGAGGCTCAGAGGGGGAGATGGCCCACTGACGTCTCTGCAGGACAGTGGACAGCTGGCTCCAAAATGTGTGCGTGTCTCCACTCTGCTGTCTCATTTCCTGAAGCCCCTCTGAGCCCAAGGAAGGGCATTGGGGTGGTGCTGCTGGGACAGAGTTCCTGAGGGTCCCTGGTTTGGCACCAACTAGCTGTGTGACTTCACATCTCCCAGCCTTGGCTTCCACCTTTATCCCAAGAGTCACCTCCCATAGTGTTCAAAAGTCACCTTCAGCTGGGAACAGCGGCATATGCCTGTAATCTCAGTGACTCAGGAGGCCGAGGCAAGTTCGAGGTTAGCCTAGGCAACTAAGAGTGACCCTAAGAAACTTAGTGAAACTCTACCTCAAAATAAAAAATAAAAAGGGTAGGGGATGTGGCTCAGTGGTAAAGTGCCTCTGGGTTCAATCCCCGGTACTTAAAAAAAAAAAAATTCACTCTCTCAATAACCACTTGCATGGTTCAGCCTTCTGCCATTTAAAAGGTCTTTTGCAAGGGTCATCTCTTGTCAGTCCCTGCAAGGTGGGGTGGGAGGGACTGTCAACAATCTCATGTTACAGATGAGGAAACCGAGGCCAAAGGATGTCCAGAGGCAGCCTGCATTTACGGGTAACCTCAGCATCACCTTGAAACCACATGATTAGCTTGTTAGCATTTCTGCACCCAATTTTTAGGTGACACACAGGAGGGATCTGGCTTCCCTGGTCCCTGCTCGTCACGTTCTGTTCCAGTGTCCATGCTGGGCTGTTCTCACCAGCCCTCAGAGCAAGGCTGGGGTTTAAAGAGAAAGGCCCCCATTGGTCTATTGTTAAAGTCTTCCTACTGGATTTATAAAACAACAACCAGAGAGAAGACTTTTCAGAGCAAACAGGAATGAACAACAATTATTTTTATTTCTTAAAATAATTTTACTAACTAGGCTAAGGGGCACCAGAGGACTCAGCTTCAATAGTCTCTTTTAGAAGGCTCGAAGGGGCCTTTATTTGAATTGCATATTATCAGATGCCTAGCCGGTGTGCGTGCCCATTAGACCCAGCTAGCAATTTCCTCTTTTATTGCCACAGTGATCACATGGCTAGAAAAATAATTGCCAATGCATATGTTGGAGGGAGGGAGTACATTGTAGGAGTGCTTTGGTGCAGATGGCCTGGTTTCTCAGAAACAAGGGACTTATTGGGGACTCTTCTTGCCTGCCTGGCTCTGCACTGTGATGGGACAGCCAGCTCTGGTCCTATGATGGACCAGGAGGGTGGGCTGTATTTCAGGGGATGTGGCAGGATCTGAGAGCGGGGCTGGGAGGGGTCTCGGAGGCCCTTCTCTTCCAGATGTGGCTGTTTCTGAGTCCATTCTCTTTGAACATCAGGAGGGATAGAGGTGAGAGGAGCACAGATTTGGAGGAGACAGACCACCAGCTAGGAGATCTGGAAAATGCCACTTCTCTGTGCCACCCTCTCCTCCTCTGTGAAATGGGTCCATATCAACTAAGGTGATGTTCATGGGATGCACCTGCAAAGTGCTGCATAAATGTTAGGAGTTAATGGTTATACGTTATGACTCCTGCTTCTAATAATCTAAGTGGTGTATTAAATAGCCATATGTGAACAAGCATAAAAAATTAAGCAATTAAGGAAATCACACCTCCAGGATGCACGGAACACATCTATCTTTGAGATGTGGAGCTTGGGGGAGTAGAGTTGGGGGATGCTGGCACCCCAACTTTTTCTACAACATCTAAGTCATCATCAAGATTTGGCTCAGAGGAAGGGGATAAAATTACAGTTAATTCTCTCACTTATCAAGGCTCATAAACTTTCATGGTGCTCTTTCCTAGAGCATGAAAGGTTTGTTAAAATTCAGATTCTCATTGTGTTGGTCTGGAGGTGGGGCCTGAGATTCTGCATTTCTAACAAGCTCGAAAGCGATGCCCAGACTTTGGGTCCTCCTGGCATACAGCAGTTTCCCAAAGTGTATTTATGGGGCATACCCATTCCTCAAGATTCAGCCAGGAAGGGTCCTCCTGTCAAGTCAGCTTGGGCACCCTTTATGAGTCTACAGCTCTCTGCTACCCATCAGCAAGTTCAAGGTTTGAGCAGTTCTGCAAGTGAGGAAGAAATCAATTCAGACCAGGGGTTCTCAAACATCTTTGACCACAGGATCCTTCTCTTAGGGGAAAAACCTCTCCTTGTAAGGTTCACTCCATCAAGAGATCCTGGTTCAGGAGGAGCACACACTTTGGAGCCAGCCTGGTCTGGGTTCTGGGTTGAGATCCCAGTTCTGCTACTTTCTTGCCCTGTGTTCTTGGGTGCACGTCTTGGATCTCCTTGAACCTCAGTCTCCTCATATTTAAATTAGAGATAATAAAACCTGTGTCATGGGGATTAAATAAGATGGAAATCCTGCAACAGCACCTGCATATAACAGATAATTAAGAAATGAAAGTTCCTTATTTCTCCTACAATTTTTTCCCTCTGGATGCCGGGGGTTTGGGGCTGCAAATTGGGAGTGAACTTGACACCCCCCTCCTTTTTTTTTCTGGAGCTGGTTGGCATAGATGGGGTCTGCTGCTCATTACCTGGGGGAAGTGGGTACCAATGCCTGATGCCTTCTTGCCCCAGCTGTGGGTTTGCCCATCTCTGTTCTGTCACCTCTCAGCCAGCCCTCCCTGACGTGTGACACCTCCCACATCCCAAGCTGTTCTTCTTTCTCCTCCTGGGCCTGAAATAGACCTGCACCCAGATTAGCATTCTGCTTGCGGAAGCGCCTTGTCTAGCCCCTGACATCTTCTAGGAGCTTCCATAGTTGGTCACTTTGCAGACAGGTAGCTTGACAGAGGTCTGGGGCAGAGGCTGGGGGCGGTGACAAGTCTCCATGCTTTGCAGGAGCAGTGAGGAGTGAATGAAACAGAGGATGAGAGAACTGTGGCCCAGGGCCTGGTGTGCAGGGACACCAGAGAAAAAAGACATTTCTGTTTCTTCCTTGGCTTATCTGGAGTCATGTTTTCATGGCTTTGCCATAATGGCACTCAGCAATCCCGGAACAGCCTGGTTGATAATCATGTTACCTAACTTTGGGGCCGGGGCAGTATCTGAGTCAACAGAAGCCTCATCTGTCCTGAAGAGAACTAAATCTTCTGGAGGCTTGGAGGCAAGTGCATGAAATTCCTCCCAGGCTGTGCGTAAGGAGGGACAGATGCAGCCCCCAGCTACACGGGGTAACCCCGCCCTCACCCATCACCCCAGGGGGCAGTAAGAATGCAGAGTCCCACAAATGCCCCAGCACAGGCAACAGCAAGAAACACCAGTCCACATCGGAGGGACAGAACTAGGCCCGAGCCCAAGCAAACCCCCTGCCCGTTAGCTCCGTGAAAGAGAAGAGGAAGAAAACTCCACCGGGCTCAGCCATGCTCTGGGGTGGGGCCGAGGAGCTGAACCCTGGCTTGGGTCCTCCTGCCTCCAGGGAATTTTAGTGGAGGCTGGGAGTCTTCACGGGGGACCCAGATGCCGGCTTCAGCTCAGGTCCAGGCCCCAGGCCATCTTCCCAAAGCCAGGGCAGAAATGCACTTAGTCGGAGGGCCACGCCAGGTGGGACACTGCTTCTTGGGGGCCAAATCTGAAGCCAAAGTCATGTCCCACACTTTGGGCTCCCCTGGGGGCAGTTCAGGGCCCCAACAGGAGCCAGCACCTTTGGGTAGCTACAAGCAGGTGTGGAGATGGTTTCCGGCTGTGGCTCTGCTCTTAAGCGCCTGCCCCATGTGAGAGGGTGACTGTCCCAGTGCGAGATCCCATGCACATCCGAGATCTGTGCAGTCCAGAAGAGGGAGAGAAAGCCCAGAGTTGGGAGCGGAAGAGAGAGAGGCCCGTCCAACCCAGACCGAGACTGACCATTGCCATCGGAGACGTACCATTGACTAGGCTGGCCCTCGCACTATCTGCAGCGTTTGAAGCTGCCACACCGTCTGCCGCTGCAGGGGGAGGGGTGGGAGGGATGGAAAATGCAGTGTGTCACAATGGAGAAAAGCAACAAAGATAAAGACATGAACCCACTGGCGGGAAAACCATGTGACTCTACAACAACAACAACAACAAGTCTCCATTGGAAATCAAGAAACTCAAATTTGGGGGTGGAGGTGAAATGTTCCCAGGGAGATGCCACAGGGGTAGGGTGGGGGGGACTCAGACAATGGAGGGTCTTGAAATAAAACATGGAGGATGAGCAGGGTGGTCAGGAGGATGGCATTCTTCCGTGGTGAGGTCTCAACAATGTTGGCCCAATGGGTCGGGTAGGCCCCATGTTGGATGAAGGGGTCTGGCTTCCCATCAGGACCAGGAGGCCCTATGACCAGGAGTCAGCTCAAGCTGTTCAGGGAGGGGTACAGCATGTGCACCAGCCATGCAGAAGGGCTATCTGCTAAGATGGCCATCACTGTGTCCTGGTGGAACAGCAGCAGTGGTGGTGACAGCTGTTAGGATCTTGCCTTCTCTCAGGGCACTTGCCATCACTAGCTCTTCCTTCCCTAATCTGCATACTAAAGATCGCCCTGGTAACCCCCTGATGAGATAGCCTTCTGTTTAAAAGGTAGCATCAAGCACGTCTCAGTTTGTACACAAGCAAAGGTGTTAGTGAAGTTTTCTTAATTTAGCAATTAAGAATGATTTGAGATGGACAACATTCACATCCGTTGCTCTTTCTTGGGGGACTGGGGTTCTGTGGGGAGGAGGAGAATGAGACCCTGTAGGGTGAGAGATGCTGGTGGGTGAGGCAGACATGTTGTGTGGTGGGGGATGGGAAGCCAGGTGGACTCTGGGGTGTGAGTGGGGGTGTCGGGGTCTTGTGTGCTGTGAGGTGTCATATGCTGGTGTGCAGGGCTGCGGTGAATGGGCAGAATGGGGTGGTACCATATGGTACAGTGAAGTCCCGTAAGGCAAGAGGTGGAGTGAGGTGCTGGTGTGTCCTGCTGGTCTGGCATCCCATGAGGGCACAGAGGGGCATCTGTAATAGGGCCACCTCCCACTGGGTGCTGGTGGTCTAGTGTCAGGCCCTGGTGACCAAAAGCTGCAGCTATTTCTAAAAGCCCCATCTACTCTAAGGGGTGTCTTACTGTACCTGGTAGCTGAAGGCCATCCCCCTTCTTCACACCTGTGTGATGATTTTTGAGACATGTTAATGATGGAGAAGCACACATAGCCTCATCTGCACACACGCACACACACACACACACACACACACATATACACACACACACACACCCAGGTCATTCTGAAATGGGAAATTGCAACTGGCAGGCTCTAAGCTGTCTCCAGTTGAGACAATGGGATGGGGGGATGGGATGGGAGCGGCTGAGTTACTCATGATGGCCTGAGATGCTGGCCCATCTCCTAGGTTTCTTGTGCCACGTCCCCTCTGCATCCCACCTCTTCTCCCTCCATGAAGCTGGATCTTTCAATATTTTGTCTCACTGGGGCATGCTCAGAGAGGGACCCTGACTACACTCCAGGGCCACTGAGACCTGCCTTCCCTATAGCTTTTCATAAACACAGGTCTGGCTTGTGGGAGCTTCTGGGCATCCTTGTCCCTGAGTTGAGCCCAGTGAGGCCAAGGAGGTTCATACAGGTCACAGCATTCTGCCCAACTCCCTATACCTCGTGCCAGGCCTGGCCACCCTGGCCACAGATTCTCCCTTGGTCTATGGACACTGTCTTGATGCCCCCTGGATGTTCCTTCCAAGATTCTCTCCTCCATTTCAACCTTGGCACCCCTTTGCTCTCTCCAGCCTCTTGATTTCCCAGACCACAGCTCAGATCCAGTGTTCCTGCTCGTGGGGGTCAGTGCAGAGTCACAATCTCATCATCTTAGGGGACCCACTGAAAATGGGTTTTGCCCTCAGGAACAAGTAGACTTCAATCCTGACCCAGGCTCTGTGCCTGGGTGGCCCCTGAGAGCTGGAGATAGCAGAGTTGCCCTCGAAACCCAGGCAGGGACCATCTGCCCCCTTATCTCTCTTCTTCCCAGGCTCCAGAAGTTCTGGGTGTTGGGGATCCTCCCCTGGAGCTTAGGGAAGAAGATAAAAGACTGAGGATGTGAAAGGGGGGCTGACTCTGAGACTGAGTATGGGTGTCAGGTAAGGAGCAGGGTGTGCTGGGGCCCAGAAGCCCAGATCTCTGGATTTGGGCCTGGCCTGACAGGATTGGGGTTTCTCACAAGAGCATCCCTTATCTGTCCTGAGAAGCATTTCCTCCCAGGCCACACCCACTGCACTGCTGGGAGTCAAATGAGTTCTTATTTTCAAGGGGAAGGAAGGATCAGAACTGGGACAAGGTGGCAGCTTGAGGGGGAATCAGAGAGGTGGCCTAGAGCAGTATATTTACAGCCATGTGTTTGGCCATCTTTCCCAGAATATCTACTGCCCACGTATGGGACAAGTCTATGTTGGGTAGCTTTTCAGCTCTGCCTAGTGGAGTTGACAATGGTGGCAGGAATAAATGTCAGTGGGAATTTCTACTCAATATCAAGGTGATGAGACCTATTCATGCTGGCTGTTTCTGCTGCTTGAAACAGAAGACTCAACCTCATGCTCGGCATCCCTGGCCTGGCCCCAAGGGGAAGGAGGGGCCTCTGTGACATGACTGGACAAAACAGAGACTGGGACAAGACCCTAGAGATGAAACGGACAGAGCCCACCTGGCCCCAGCAGGGCCTTGAGGATGGAGGCGACTGTTGGTACAGGGCGTGGACACAGAAGGCACTTGTTAACTATTTTGCTGACTAACAAATAAACAAAAACAACAAAAAATGTGGCCTTAAAAGCTCCTCTCCTGGTCTGCAAGGGGGGTTATGCTTACCTTTTTTGTCTTTCTTCTCTTCCTCTTCACCACCAGCCCCCAGCAAGGTAAAGATGATGCCAGTCTGAGAGTTCACACCTACAGCAGTCACCACCATTCTTCCTGAGCCCTCCATCACATGGGTACCTAGAGAAAAGAGCAAAAGCCAAGTTATCATTACATCCTCCAAACTCCCTCCCCAGAGGAGTAGAAGGAATGGTCAGCTCCCAGCTCTTTTGCTACAAAAAATTGTAGGGTGCCACCTATGGTTAAAGTTCACACTGTATGTGTGTGTGATGAGTTTCTTAAGATGATTTCACCTCAGGACAGTGCCAGGATGGGCCTGGGGCCGAAGACTGCTGTCCTTCAGTTCTCAGGCCCTCCCAATCATCTCCAGGCTCACCACCTATTACCCTGTTCTGGAAGGTCATTTTCTTCCTCTGTCTCCTTCTCCCTCTTCCTTTTCCACAGTAACAGCCCAAGCTGGGGGGTAGTCCCTCTTTTCCTTATCAATAGTATGTGGAGCCAAACCACATCCTGCTTAATTCTGCAAGTAGTAAAGAGGAGCCAACTGAGGACTGAACACTGCTCAAAATGAGATCTATCTTCCCTCCTTATTTGTGGTTCAGAGGTTTGTGAGTTTGGATGAGAAAAATATTATGCCTTTGTTTTCATAAACCTCTGACTGCCATTTACCATTTCTTCCAACCATGAATACAGAAATGCTATTGGTGCACCATCACACACATTACAAAATTCTCAGATTTTTTTTGTATCATTTTTACAGCTTTGCAGATTTTGTGGCTAGTTTTCTCTATTTTTCAACTATTGTGGTTATTAAGCATCCTGATGGATCTTGTTGTTCAGTGTGTTAATCAGGAAGCACATACATTTTTATACCACTTATTTTTATACTTCTTTATTTCAACATATGGTTTTCCTTGAAATCAAGTATTTTTTTTTCTTTTATTTTCTCTTTTTGGTACCATGGATTGAACTCAGTGGCACTCGGCCACTGAGCCACATCCCCATCCCTATTTGGTATTTTATTCAGAGTCAGAGTCTAACTGAGTTGCTTAGCATCTTGCTTTTGCTGAGGCTGGCTTTGAACTTGTGATCCTCCTATCTCAGCCTCCTGAGCCACTGGGATTACAGGCATGTGCCGCCTCACCCTGCAAAGCTTTATTCTAAGAAGAGGTGGCACTTAACAATGCCACACTTCCCCAGGGGTTCATGCTGCAAGAAAGATTAAGGTCCCCCTTCCCAGAGTTTCAGATTTCTCAAACTAGAATTCTTTCAATGATCTGGAGGGGCAGTTGTAAGAGATGAAGTGGCTATTTTTTTTTTTACTGGTGCATTATGATTACACATAATAGTGGGATTCATTTTGAATTCTTTATAGATGTACATAACATAATTTGATAAATCAATTTCATTCCCATCATGACCTTCCCTCCTCCCTCCCCACCTCTGATTCCCCACTCTACTTTCTTGGTCTCTCTCCTATTTTTTTTTTCCCCAAATGCTGGGGATAGAACTCAGTGCCTTGCACATGCCAGGCAAATGCTCTACCACTGAGCTACATCCCCAGCCCCCTCTCCTCTATTTTCATAAGGTCCCTTTTTACACTTTGTTCTCTCTAGCTTCTACATATGAGAAAACATGTGACCCTTGACATATGGAATCTGACTTATTTTGCTTAACATATAATCTCCAGTTCCATATTTTTTCCTGTAAATGACATATTCATTCTTCTTTATGGCTGAATAAAATTCATGGTGTATATATACCACATTTTCTTTACCTGTTCATCTGTTGGTGGAACCTGGGATGGTTACGTAACTTGGCTATTGTGAATTGTGCTGCCATAAACATGGGTTTGCATGTATTGTTATAGCAAACTGATGCTCCGTATACACAATGGAGTTTTATTCAGCCTTCAAAAGGAAGGAAATTATGATATACTTTGAGGACATTGTGCTACATGAAATCAACCAGTCATAAACGGACTATAAATACCATGTGGTCCCACTCATGTAAGGTCCCTGAGAGTAGTCAAATTCATAGAAACAGACAGTAGGATGGGGGTTAGCAGGGGTTGGGGAAGAGGAACAGGAGAGTTTTAGTTTGGGAAGACGAAAAGTTCCAGAGATAGACAGTGGTGGTGGCTGCACGAGTGTGAATGTGTTTAATGCCACTGAGTTGGATGGCTGGGCCCAGCCTGGGAAGCTGACAGAATCTACATAAATGAAGTTTTGCTCTCCAGACACCCATTTTTCCTCCAATTTTAATTTTTATCATTCTGGGTAGAAAACTTTCTACAGTGCATCTTGCCCTTCCTTTTTAAATGCAGAAGTAAGAACCCTGTTACTGCCTGATGCCGTGTCTCAGGCCGTCCTTATGCTGTGCCCACAGTAAGTACCATACGGAGGGGAATCCCAGATGTTGCCCAGGGGAGGCCTTGGGACCTCTATACTGAGGCTCCACCCTCCAGGACTTGCTTCTGGAACTCAATTCTGCTTTTTAAACACTGGGTGCTCCTTCTCCATGTTTTCTGGGTGCAACCTGTCTCTAACACCCTTTCTGTTGATTTCTGATTTGCTTGGGATTTGAAACCCAGGTCAGCAAATTCATTAGAATCTTCCTAAAACAGCAGTCCATGGGTTCTGAGCCAGGACCCAAAGCATGTTCCTTATGCGAGAAATCCACTCCCTCTTTTCAAGGGGTTCACCTGCCTCATTCCTTTCCTGCCAGGATTTGTGTAATATCTTGTGTGTGTGTGTACATCTGTGCACTTGCATGCCTGTGCATGTGTGAATGTGTGCTACACTAGCACCTTGGCACGAAGATCTTAGGGTCTTAAAGTGCTCTGCTGAGAGGCAGACAGACACCATCCAGTGTGCTCCCTGAAGGCAGGAGAACGGCATCCTGTCCTGACACAGATGTGGGAGTCACATCATGAAGGTGTACACATTGGGCAGGAGGCCCGGTGAGCTGTCAAGAACTCAGATTCTCAGGCGGGAGAATTCCCAGGACAGGAATCTCATGCAGGGAATCGGGGGAGGGGGAGGGTAACCCCGAATGAGTCCAGACGCTGACTCTGGGCTGAGCAGGCTGGCCTGCTGACTTCCCATCTCAGGTTGATCCAGGAGCCACCCAGTCCCCACGAGGCCCCATGTCAGGACCTTGGTCATTGAAACAACGTCTGACAAAACACTTTCTGCGACGGCTTGTGTGGGGCTGTTGCCTACCACCACTCGATCAATGAGAAAACTGATATCATGTCAGGGAAGGGGGGTCAATGGAGACTTCAAAAGAGGGAAAGGGTCACACACGGTTGCACTTACAGAGTGGAGACGGCAGTGACAGCAACCCAGCTAGACAACACCTATTGCGTGGCAGGTACAGTGCTACCCAACTCGAGCAATTATATCACGTGATGCTCACGCTGGCCCTCAATTGATGCAGGAGGAAACTGCAGTTGTTGGGGGCGGGGGGGGGAGTTGGCTTGTCCAGGGTCCTTGGCAAGGGGCAGAGCCAGGGTCTGAAGTCTCTGCCTGTTGTCTTGGTCACTTGCCACTCTACCCAGGAGACAAGGCCTCAGTAGCTGGGTCTCCAAGACGTGAGTAAAGAAAGTAGGCTGAGAAATGAAGGTGCCGGTCCTCTGGCTTGGGTGGTGACAGGGAGGCTGCCATTCACCTCCCAGCACAGATGATGGAAAAAGATGCAGGGGGCCAGTTTCCACCATGATAATCAGACTCAAATCACCTTCTAATCTAATCGCTCCCATTGCAGCAGAGAACTGGCCGCTCGGTGTCCGTATCTGGAGGCAGGAGGGGGGAGGAGGAAGCCAGAGGCCAGCTTGGGGTGAAGTCCAGCACAGCGGGGTCCTCCGGGGCCCAGCACTAGATGGGAGCAGGGGGACTGGAGGCATCCACCTTCCCCTCTTGGCCCTCATCTCCTCCTCAAGGCTCAGGATGAAGGTCCCTCCCCTAGGTGGCCCTCCCTGACTCCCATGAGAGGATTTCATCTCCCTCTTCTGAACCAGCTCCGTGGCCTTCCTTGGGGTACCCCCTGGTTGGCTCCCCAGGGAGCCCCTGACAGGAAGGGCCTGTGCACATCTCCCCCAGGGGCCTCCTCAGCAGAGCCTGGGGTGCAGCTGCCACTGTAGTCCCTTCCTTGGGGACCTCCTTTTTTGGTATCTCCCATGGTGGGAGATACTGCATTTAGAATGGAGAATATATGCCCCCTCCCAATCCACTGTGTGGCCTTACAAAGACCACCTTAGACCTGCTTTGCCCCCCTGCCAGAGGAGGAATGGCATAAACCAGCCTGTGCTCCCCAGGCTCTTCCCGATCAGCTCTGGAAGTCCCTTGCAGGTGGCAATGCTTGACACCAAGGCTCTAATGTTGGGACAAGAGGCCTGAAGCTTAAGGTCAGCTGACTCTATCTCTCAGAGTAAAAATGGCAGGGTCTCTGCAGAAGGGCAGAGGTGAGAGCCCTTTGGATATGGTGCCCTTGCAGTAGGATCTCACTGTGCATGGTCCCTTGGACACTGTTCTGCAGCCCCTACCTCTCCTCACTACCCAGGGAGCCCCTCGGAGCACACAGCACGGGGCGTGGGACATGGACGGAAGGCCCTGGGCTGGAGAGCTAGTCTAGTGTCTGATTCTGATTTGCTGAGGGGCCTAAGCCAGCCCCTCGCCTCTCTGGGCCTCCGTTTTGTCCTCTGTGAAATGGGAGGGTTCTGGCCGAGGTCACTACCTCTCAGCCACGGTGGAAGGGCATTCTGGGAAATTCTAGGCAAAGGTAGGAGGGGCCAGTGTGACAGCAGTGGGTCATGTGGCAGACACTCAGGGCTCACGAAGGCACGCTGCAAGCTTGGTGTTCCTAGCATTTGGTGGGGGGAGAGAGGGAGGAAAAGAAGGCATATTAACTGAGCACTCGCTACGTGCCACAGACAGTCCAGTGGCTCTTCCTACTTCCTGAGGTCATGTGAGGGCAGAGCTGGGATGGCCAGCCCAAGGGGGAGGTGGAGGCGGAGCAGCGGGGAGCTGGGTCAGTCAGCCGTGGAGGGGGTGCCTCCCATCCGCCAATGAGAGAAAGAGGAGCCCAAGGGCAGTCAGGCCTGGAACCAGGGCTCCTTG